CGAAGCCCTGCCAGAGAACCAGCCCCTCCACTGGGGTGGCAGCAACGTGGTCATGGCGGTGGGGTTGAGGTGCTGCCCTCTGGCTCTATTGAAATGTGGGGGGTGTAACAATGCTGTTCTGGCGGAACCCAACTGCGAGTGCCAACTCAGGACAAATTGCTCAAATAGGGCAGTTATAGCCCAAGGCTGGGGTTTTTCCACCTCTAAGGCAAACCAAACCAGCCAGACTAAGAGGACTTCGGTCTCACCCCACTGGCTAAACGCAAGTCTCACAAGCAATCTCCTTAGACACTCCAGTTTCCCAGTATCACCACCAATACCACTCCTTTAGAACGGTCAGGTTTATTTTTAAATCCTTCCCTCCTCTTGAACGGGGGAGAATGGTGATTAGTTTTCCCTAGGGTTTTACACCCTTCTCGAGCCCTGTTTTGGGTATGGGCATCCGCAATCTCTGCTGCCCGTAGGACTGACTCAGGGTCCCTGTCACACACCGCTGCTCTCACATTGTCAGGCACAATGTCCAAGAACTATTCCAAAGTTATTAAATCCAGCAGTTTTTCAAAACTCCCATGCGCCTTGGCTCCCATAACCCACCTTTTAACAAAACCCATCAGCTTATGAGCACATTCCACAAAAGTACAATCATTAGACATTTTAAACTCTCTAAACTTAACTCTGTAAGATTCAGGAGTAACCTTGAACCGCCTTAACACAGAATCCTTAAACCACTCATAATCTAAGGCTTCTTGTTCCCCCAAATCATTGAATACCGCCCTGGTTTTTCCAGTCAGTCTGGTCAGCAGGACAGGCATTCGCTGACCCTCGGGGATCTGGTACAGATTGCAGAGGCGTTCAAAGGTAGACAAAAACTTCTCTATATCCTCAGTATCGCTGTAAATGGGACACATCCTTTCCCAGTTTTTCTCATGGCGGGGGGGAAGTGGAGTACCAGGTGGGGATGACTTTCTCCGCTCTTCCATTACTTGGAGCTGAAGTCTGGCCGTCTCCTGCTCAGCAGCGAGCAGCTCTAGACGCCCCTTACGAGCTCTCTCTTCTCTCTCATCAGCCTCCTTCTCTAATTCTGCTATTTTTTGCTTCTCCAGCAATCGAAGATTTGCTAGCTTCTGTTCATGCTCAAATTGCATTTTACTTGTCACCCTTTGCATCCTAATCTTTTCTGCATCTTCTGTAGCCTCAGGTAAGGGCTGTGCTCTTGCCCCCTGATCACTGGCTATTAACAGATTTCTCAGTTCTTGATTTGTAGCTTTCTTTCTAAAGCTTATCCTCTTTTCTGAACACAAATTTTCCAGGGCATTTTTTGCCAAGTCCCTCATACGCTCTTTGCTCCGCCATTGCAGCAGCTCTTTAACCAACAAAACTCTCAATCACCAAATTCAAATTGGGACAGCGCGGGGTTCTGACCCAAAGCTTAATTGACCTGGTTCTGTGGATCCTGCCGACTACGCCACTGTGACAATGCAGTTCTGGCGGAACCCAACTGAGAGTGCTAACTCAGGACAAATTGCTCAAATAGGGCAGTTATAGCCCAAGGCTGGGGTTTTTCCACCTCTAAGGCAAACCAAACCAGCCAGACTAAGAGGACTTCGGTCTCACCCCACTGGCTAAACGCAAGTCTCACAAGCAATCTCCTTAGACACTCCAGTTTCCCAGTATCACCACCAATACCACTCATTATGGGGACAAATGGTTATGAAAACCAATACCCAAATAAAAGAAAAAAGGTTCTCCTGATCCCAAAGGACCAAGCCCCAGACCCAGCTCAATATACAAATCAGATCTTGCCCACAAATCACACTGTTGCCAATCCTTTAGAATCTAAAGGTTTATTCATAAAAGGGAAAAGGTAGAGATGAGAGATAGAATTGGTTAAATGGAATCAATTACATATAGTAATGGCAAAGTTCTTGGTTCAGGCTTGCAGCAGCGATGGAATAAACTGCAGGTTCAAATCAAGTCTCTGGAATACATCCCCCGCTGGGATGGGTCCTCAGTCCTTTGTTCAGAGCTTCAGTGTAGCAAAGTTCCTCCAGAGGTATGAAGCAGGATTGAAGACAAGATGGAGATGAGGCATCAGCCTTATATAGTCTTTTCCAGGTGTAAGAACACCTCTTTGTTCTTACTGTGGAAAATTACAGCAAAATGGAGCCTGGAGTCACAGGGGCCAGTCCCTGCATACTTTGCTGAGTTACAAGGCGTATCTACCTTCTCTCAATGGGTCAATTGTATAGCTGATGGTCCTTAATGGGCCATCAAGCAGGCTAGGCAGAGCTAGCACCAGTTTGTCTGGGATGTCACCCAGCAGCATAGCATAAGTTTGAAACACAGACAGTGTAGAGCCAATACTCACAACTTCAACTACAGAATTGATACACCCATATAGACAGCATAATCATAACCCATAA